ATACACCAATAATTTATTCATATGTTCTAAAAACAGTTTGACTAGACAGTTACACCAATTATGAGACACCAATTAGTTACAATTACCTTATAATGCACCAAATAATTATTCATGTGTCATGAAAATAGTTACACTAATCAATTCATTATATCATTCAATTGTTTAGTTAGNAACATCAATTAGTTACAATTACCTTATAATGCACCAAATAATTATTCATGTGTCATGAAAATAGTTACACTAANGACACCAATTAGTTATAATTACCTTATAATGCACCAAATAATTATTCATGTGTCATGAAAATAGTTACACTAATCAATTCATTATATCATTCAATTGTTTAGTTAGATCAAAGAGTTACATTATTCAGTATCGCTACATAGTTACATCAATTATACACATCAAATTGGATGAACTAAGAAATTACACCAACGATGTACATCATATAGGCACACAAAACAGATAAACTAACGACATGTAGTATTAAACCAAAGTGTTACACCTGACAGTCGTACCATCCAGTGATAACAAAGAGCTACAACAACGACATATATCAAACATTTTCACCAAAAAAGTCGCAAAAAGTTTTGAACCTGAAATGTATGAAGTATTTTTTGTATTCATGAGAAATGTGGAAAGTAATGAAAGTAAAATTGCAATCCTTAAACGACATCCCAGAGTAAAACTTTCTTGTCTTTCAAATCTTTGCAATATTTTTGAATTTCAAATTTTCCAAAGACCAAGGAATATGATCTATGCTTCTTGGTTTTACACCTTTTCCTTAATGGAGCCGCAGATGACGCTTGGGATCAAAATCAATTTTGTACTATTTTCCCTTTAACTTGATGGTTTTTTGGTCATTATTTAAAAAAATGCACTTGAGCCCAAATAAATTTTTATGTTGTATTTTAGCTCAAATAAGTCTAAATTTGACCGATTTTCATTTTTCCCAAAAAAATATGACTGATAGTTAGCCCACCTGAGTCCAATATCCTTCAAGAGGGGGCATGATTTTGCCCTCAAACTCATTACCCGGCCTAAAATCCAGCCCATAAGCTCGCTCATAAAAACCCAGCCCATGAGCCCACCTGTAAAAACCCAGCCCAAGAACCTACCAGCCAAGTACATCTACCCTTCCACCCAATTGTTTGAAAAAAAATTGACCATCGAAACTTTGAAAGTTTTGTGACAATAAATGCCTCTAAAAAATAAAAAAGTTAGGTGCACTCAATGCATAATTCAAAAAAAAAAAAATTAGATTTTTTCCCTATTCATAAATAAAATTATTCATTATTCAATTTAGACAATTTTGACTCAACTTTTAATTCAAAAATATAATTTACAAAAATATTAAATTAAAAATTTTTTAAATAAAATTNTTCCCTATTCATAAATAAAATTATTCATTATTCAATTTAGACAATTTTGACTCAACTTTTAATTCAAAAATATAATTTACAAAAATATTAAATTGAAAATTTTTTAAATAAAATTATATATATAAAAAAAAAATCCACCCAATGAGTGATGAGTTGATCTGAGAGTAGTCTAACCCTACTCGAAGCCGGCCCAACCCACCTGATATCTCACCCAAGTAAAAGCGTGAATACTCAAACTCAATCCCAAAAAAAAATTGCAGACCTAACCCAGGCCGCCAATGAATACCCCTATTCCCAAACATTGAATAACTAGAACCTACTTTAATTTTGAGGTTTTTGTAAGTTGGTATACAGTGCTTAACTTTTAGGAGTAAAAGTCCAAGCATAAACATTTTGGGATTTTAAGGACATGCCTTTGTTGAAAGACAAAAATATCCAAAATCTTTTTCAAACGGCGATTTGGCTCTCAAAAAAAACTGGTGACTATGACCCTTCATTGCAGAGGTTACCAAATTCGAAAATCCAAAAATCACTCTTCCTAGACTCTATACAAAATAGAAACAATAAAAAATCGGTGGATATCTACAACATTAGGGTTTGAGAAGCATTCAAATTTGAAGAACATAAATTCTCATGTCAATAAAATAGGTTTCAATTTTTTGGTATTATTGCATACTTAATACGTCAAAATTACATTGATTACGTACATAAACAACTGAATGAAAAATAACATACGACATTGATTTCGTAGTTGTTACTGGGTTTTTCTAGATGAATATTTGGGGTTTTTTCATTTTCATGGATTTTTAAAAATGTGATTTTGCCACAATCATATTTTGGTGTTTGAGTTATGTATTTGTGGTGCTTAAAATGTACTTTGTGCATACATTTTCTAAATTGGGATGTATTTATGCTTGGTTTTACACAGTAATAATAGTCTCATTTCTGACTAAATTTGGGATATGACTGTAGTAACAAGATATGTCATTGTGTTATGCATTTGCGAATTAAAATGAGATTATACAAGCAATAACATGCATGTACTTTTTATTTTATTCTTTTATATGAATGTAATGGTAACCCACATGCTAAAAATAATTCATGTTACTGTGATACATGGTGTTCACCATAGTAACAGATACCACAATAACAGTCTTGTTACTGATCAACATAGTAACAACCATGTTACCATTCTTATTAGTGTTATATTTTATAGTAACAGCTATTGTCATTGTGACAAAAATGATATTTATCAATATAAACAAATCTGTAACCGTCAGTAATCTTATTTTTTTAGTGTCATTATATAGATAAAATGCCTATACCAAAAAATTCATCGAGATATGAGCTGAAAAAAAGAAGTCTCACACAACCTAAATCTCCTGATTCTGCAAAAGTTAGAACAAAGATTGTGAAAAAAAAAAAGAATCAGTACGGAATTTTCAAAAAATCGAAACATAATCAATATAGTTTTCAAAAAATATAAACCTAATTAGTACAAACTTTTCAAATAGTATATCAGAAAACAATATATCCCAATCTAGAACTACCCATCAAAAAACCGAAACATAAACAGTATATCAGAGAGTTGCCTTGCCCGAGTTATAAGGAAAGAGGTTATACTCCATGTACAGAATGCGGGATAAAATTAGGATGTTTGACCATGGATACTTCTCTAAATATAAAAAGACTCGATTTCTCTAAGTGGATACTCAATCTTAGAAACCCACCAAATCAGTCTTCATACAGGAACTCCCAAAAAAAATTTCAAAACTATTCAGATTTTTAGAGAAGAAAACATATATGTAGAGACAAAACTAACCAATACCCAAACCCTCTTCGATGCATCTATTGGAAACCCAAAAAACTTGAATCCAGAAGAAAAGATATTTGCACATCCTAAAATGTCTATCATACAAATAATATATACATATACATATACATTATATATATATGATGAATTCTATCAAATAGTGGAAATATCCAGAAGACAAAAACCCTCCCCTCACCTTGTCCCCAAACATCAATGCCCCTAATTTTTGCAGTCCAAAATGTTTTCTTTAAAAACCCCAATCAGGATGTATACCTTTCACCACCTTAGAATCTTCCACCTCCTAGTAATCTTGGATCCACTTGAGAATGCCAGATGCCAAGAACAACAGACATTGGAAGAGTTCTTCCAGTTAAGAGAGCGAGGCCTACAATGTTNGTGGATCCACTTGAGAATGTCAGATGCCAAGAACAACAGACATTGGAAGAGTTCTTCCAGTTAAGAGAGCGAGGCCTACAATGTTGGCAGGTGTAAAAAGTGGGAAAAATTATATATTCAGGTATAGAGGGATAGTTCAATAATTGTTAAAGTCTTCAGCAATATCTGGGGGTATTTTAGGTCTTTTCATTGATTCTGTTTCCACCGTCAATTAGTTGTCAACCATAGGGGGTGTAAATGTGATATTTTAAATGTGAGGAAGTATAATTGGTTAAGTGATAAATCTAAAGGAATCTGAGTATAATTTACTATTTTTACTATGGTGGGACCTTTTTTGACTCATGTCTGCGCAGACTTGCCTTCATTTCTTCGCAGAGAAGACTACGGTACATCTTTTTAGATTTTTGGTATATTAACGAAAATTTTTGGCGGTAAAACTACGATAAAAATTAAATTTTTAGTATCATACCAAAAATTCAAGGGATTTTGCCCTAGTCTGATCCTATCTTCACATATCTTCTAATGGGTCCACGTATAACTAATATCAATTGAACTTTTTTTATTGTTGTTCTAAAAATAGATAAATTAAATAAAGTAATACAATATAAATGAATAAAAAACAAAATTAAATATATTATTAAAATAATACATAANCAATTGAACTTTTTTTATTGTTGTTCTAAAAATAGATAAATTAAATAAAATAATACAATATAAATGAATAAAAAACAAAATTAAATATATTATTAAAATAATACATAATTTTATCTAATATTTCACAATACATAATATAAGCGTTATATAGTAGTTATTTAATTCAATCTATTATTTAGTAAGAGAATTATTTTATCGTAGTGATGTTAAATTAATAAAAATATCATTAATTAGCATTTGTTATATTTATGACAGGTTAATTTTATTATTTGAAAGATTATAATAATAAATGTGTAGAATAATACGTTTGAGTTAAAAGATCTCTATAATACAACTCTTTCTTAAAAAAAATTATGCGATTAATATATGTTTGTTAAATTAATACGGCATTAAATTTATTTATTAAATAAAATATTAGATTTGATTAAATGAAAGATAATATAATTAAATATTTAATTCATTTATAATACGCCAACCGACGANTTAAAAAAAATTATGCGATTAATATATGTTTTTTAAATTAATACGACATTAAATTTGTTTATTAAATAAAATATTAGATTCGATTAAATGAAAGATAATATAATTAAATATTTAATTCATTTATAATACGCCAACCGACGAGTACATTATGATTTTTCACTAGGTTCTGTATTGGAGAAATTCATCGTTAACCTTAAAAAAAAAAAAAAAAATTAAAGTCCAGATCGATTCAGATTAACACGTTCAAGTTGAAGCCCCGACGTCAAAACCTTCCCTCGTCATTCCAAAAACCAACTCACTCTTCTCGCCACGCATTGGACTGTGACAATTACATGTCACCATCACGTGACATAAAATTTCCTCCTCCCCCCTCATCATCGTAAATTTCGAAGCTTATGTTTTTAGATTTTAGATGATTGATGAATGATCAACTTAAACAACCCTTCCTTTTTCTCTCCAACATTCGATCAAATCGTTCTCTCTCTCTCTCTCTCTCTTTGGAAAACAAACTCTAGGATTTTTCACATCCATGGCCATTGATTCGTCATCGTCCAGTACTTCACTTGCTCCTGGGTTTCGGTTCCACCCGACCGATGAAGAGCTGGTGCGTTACTACCTCAGGCGCAAGATCTGTGGAAAACCCTTCCGCTTCGACGCCATCTCCGAAATTGACATCTACAAGGCCGAAGCTTGGGACCTACCAGGTTTTTCTCTATCTAATGTTAGGTTTTTTGATTTATTTTTTCACAACTATTGGCCTTCGTTTGATCTCTTGCTCGCAATTATATAGAATTGAACATTGAAAGTACGAATTTGAATTGCTAGTTTAGATTAGAAAAATAGAGATTTTTCTTTTAAAATTTGGGTAGTCTAATGATTCGTAAATCATTAGACTTCATTTCGCTCTTTGGAATTATGAATTTTGACCAATTATTTAGTGGGTCAATATTGGGGGTTTTAATGATGAGTTTTATCAATCGTTTCGCTGCATAGAATTGATGCTCTTTTTTCTTTTCTTTTTTTGCAACTGGATAGAATTGATACTTAATCCATCAAGTGAGTAAACTAGGGAGATTGAGTCAACCATCTGCTTCGTCCTCCCTGTTGAATAATATGATTTGTGCTCCTTTTAGGGTTGTGAGATGCGATTAGTTAATATGAGGAGTTGTGGGTTTTAGGTAAGTCAAGGCTGAAGACTAGAGACTTGGAGTGGTACTTCTTCAGTATGCTTGATAAGAAGTACGGAAATGGATCAAAAACAAACCGTGCAACTGGACGAGGGTATTGGAAGACAACGGGGAAGGACCGAGCTGTCTACCATAGGTCACAGATTGTGGGGATGAAGAAAACTTTGGTTTATCATATTGGTCGGGCTCCACGGGGTGAGAGGACTAACTGGGTCATGCATGAGTACAGGCTTATTGATGAGGAGTTGGCGAAAGCTGGAATTGTTCAGGTGGGTGTTTTACTGTGGTGTGTGTGAGTTCATTGTGTCTGTTCTTTAAGGGTTGTTTTGGTTTGCTTCAGGACTCATTTTCAGTTTTTTGGAGCAAAATGGAGCATTAATTTCAAAGAAGTTGCGGTTTGTGTATTCCTGTTTTGGAATCAGAAAGTAGATTCAAATGTGGATAGCCAAAAATCGAAATAATGTTGAACTAAAGTAGGAGTCTTTGTAGAACCAGTATTTGAATAAAAAAGAAATGGTGATTTTGGTGATTTTGCAGAAAATTTAATTATTACAAAATGGTTGCTAGTTGTCTCGGATTCTTGATCTTACTGTTTTTTTTTTTTTGCTTTCTTATTTTTTTTGGGTTGGGAAGGATTCATTCGTGCTGTGCCGAGTATTTCAGAAGAGTGGTTCTGGTCCAAAGAATGGGGAGAAATATGGGGCGCCATTTGTTGAGGAGGAATGGGAGAATGATGAGTTGGAAACGATCCCCAAGGAGGAAGCTGCAGAGGGAGTGGTAGTTGGTGATGATGACTATTTGGATGGAATTGACCTTGAGCAGGTTTGTGCTTTTTCTCATTTCACTAATGTATATATGTATTAGTGATTGTAGCTCTCTCATTGTTCTATGCACACATCAGGATATAGCAAAGATAACAAGGCAAGGGTTGTTTAATTGTATTGCAAACAATGGTTCCGTGAGTTGTTTTTATGCCTAAATTAGTAAAGGAGTGAAAAAGTGCTATTAACACAACACGGTACCATAATCATGTGGAAACAATAAAAATGCACGCAATCTGTATCCAATTTTTTTTTTCAGTTAACGCGTTTTTGTAAATGGAATCTTTATCAATATAGTTTAGATTCTGTAAAAGGAATGCCATGGTTGGGAAGCTGAATAAAATTAAAAAAATAGAGTGGCTGTTGGGATAGAGACAATCCATTCTTATACATATCAAAAAGAAGTGTGCATTTTTAGCTTATCGTGTACAATTTTAATAAATGGAATTGCCGTATAATAGAGCTTCAATAGCAGTGTTGAGCTTTACTCATGATACGAGTGGAACTAAGGACCTGAATGCAGTTTCAGAGCTCTCACGCTGCTAGCTAAAGAATGAAGAAACCGTTACTGAATGAGAATGAATACCTAGCTCTATGAACTTCTTTATCATATTACATTCCAAAGACTATGCTCTAAATGCAGCCTTAAGCATGCTTTTCCAAAACATGTCGTCTATACTATTAATTCTCAGACCAAAGTATAGTCATTGGACAAGAACGCTCATGCCANGAAGACTATGCTCTAAATGCAGCCTTAAGCATGCTTTTCAAAAACATGTCATCTATACTATTAATTCTCAGACCAAAGTATAGTCATTGGACAAGAACGCTCATGCCATTGTGTAATAGTCCTTATGAAAAGGAAATTTATGGCAGAGATCATCTAATTGTTTGTGCAAACTTAGGATCTAACTATGAGTCATCTTTGTGTAATTGGTCTTGATTACTTCGTCCCTTTGATTGGAATAATATTGTCTTCCTATTCCTCCACTGTCATTCTAGTCAAATTGAAGACTTTACTAATAGCAAAAGAAATTGACAAAGAGATACTCGTGGTCTATTCTTCCTTAAATCATCCTTGGTTTCATGAGGATCATCCGATAATTGGTAATTTCACTCATTCAACCACAAATCAATATTAGATCAACGATCCCTTAGGTTTTAGAAGTTAGCTGTCCATTTTAATGAATTCTTGGAATATATACCCTTGTTGAATTGTGAGAATGTTGGAGCTTGGATTACGATGTCATCTAACTTAAGGTGCATTGGATTTTTTGCGTCCTTTCTATTTGTTCTTTGCTTGTTTTCTGTTCTGCTGTGTTTCAGCTTGGAATCTGCAATATTATCTGGATGGTTTGTATCTATAATATTATTCAAGTAGAGCTGCAAAGGTGTTCTTACACTTCCTTATTTTTGTTCTCTCATCTTAGTTACCTGTTCTAGTATGTTGAGAGCTTTCCCTTTCTTCATATTCTCACGCTATTGTAATGTAATTGGATGAGTTGTCTTGAAACTGAAAGGGAATATGCTGATGATTGGAAGATAATCACATTCAAAACAATTTGAACTTGTTTTTTTTCCTAGTAAGTGATATGATTTCTATTAACCGAAAGCATCCATATACAAAAAAATACCCCATATAAAATTAACCGAAAGCATCTATTAACCGAAAGCTTCTCTTTTCAGCCCCTTTATTCCGTAGATCAGGGAGGATAAAAAATAGTGTCTGGGAGTGTCCACTGTCTTTGCAGCCAGAGGTTAGGAATGGTTTGCTTGTAACCCCTACACATGTTCATTCTGTATCTAATGGAATCAACCACCTCTTTGAAAAGTATAGCTACATCTCTATAGGCATTCCTGAATATCCTGCAGTTTCTTTCTCTCCAGATTATATAAACTGTAATGGATAGAATCAACCTACAGATCTGTTTCTTCAGTCCTTTACCAGTAATTCTAGTAGTCAACCATTGAATTAGGTCCTTCTATCTATGGTTAGGCCAATTAACACAACACTTACTTTGTAATGAGGTCCATACTCTACTGGTGTAAGAGCAGTCAAAGAACAGATGATCATGTGTCTCTACTTCACCTCTACAAAAGACACAGCGAGTACTCTGTACTAGCCCATAGGAGCTGAGCTTGTCAAGAGTTGCTAATTTTTCCTTCACTGCAATCCATAAGATGAAACTAAATCTAGGAATTGCTTTAGAGAACCATATAATTCTAGTCCATGTTTGCTTTTTTTTTTTTTGCTCTCATTACCTCCCATGCAGAACTAGAGCTGAAATTAGTATTAGTTGGAGGAAGCCACTGGATAGAGTCACTCTGATTCCGTAAAATCTAGGGAATGTTTCTTTGAATCTTCAGGAGGTCTGCATTTCTAGTAGCAGGCCATCTCCACATTCCATCCATGATAACACTGTTAACTTTAGCATTACTCCCAAGTCTAGACAATGTAACGTAATTCCTCTTTCCCCCACCTTGTGATAGAGGAGACCTCAGGGGTGCCAAGGGTCAAACCATGAGAATGCATTATCACCATTCCCAACTTTATATCTTACCAATGGGAAGCTCGCCTCTCTTAATCCCAAAATTTTTCTCCATACAATAGAGGAAGCTTGAGCCAGTCTATGTTCCAAAAGCTTCTTCCTTTCAAGACATAGATGTAAATGTAGCTCATCGAAATCAAGTTCCATTCCATGAATTTTTTTAGAATGGTGTGATCAATGCAATTACCAATGCGATTTTTATTTGCTTGATTCCAAAGAAAGACAAAGTCCACGAAGGTGAGAGATTTTAGGCGGATTAGTTTGATGTCTAGTCTTTATAAGATCATTGCAAAAGTCTTAACTTTAAGATTGAAGGAAACATTGTGTGAAACTCTTTTTGAATATTAAAGAGCTTTTGTTAAGGGTAGATAAATTCTTGATATTGTATTGGTGACATATAAGGTGGTGGATGAGTATAGAGATAAATGCAGGGAAGGTTTTATTTTCNGTGTGAAACTCTTTTTGAATATTAAAGAGCTTTTGTTAAGGGTAGATAAATTCTTGATATTGTATTAGTGACATATAAGGTGGTGGATGAGTATAGAGATAAATGCAGGGAAGGTTTTATTTTCAAGATGGATTTTGAGAAAGTATATGATTATATTGATTGGGCCTTTTGGAATATGTTATAAGGGTGAAAAGATATGGAGGGAGATAGAGAATTTATTAGGGGATGTTTGCACTCGATGAATTTTTTGGTTATGATGAATGGAAAGTGTAGAGGTAGATTTAAGTTTTCTATAGGATTGAGATAAGAGATCCTTTATCTTGTTTTTTCTTTACTTTAGTAGCCGATTGGTTAAGTAGATTAGTGAGGAAGGCTAAAAGTTGTAATTTGGGTCTTTCATTTATAGTTTACTGATGACACTATTTTTTTCAGAGGGAAAGGAAGGATAATTGATCAATTTTAAGAATATTGTAAAGCTGTTTGGTTTGGTTACAGGTTTGAGGGTAAATATGGATAAAAGTGTACTCGTGACCATTAATTCAAATGAGGAAAAGAATAGTAGGTTAGCAGAACTTTTAGGGTGTAAAGTATGAGAGTGGCCTTTGAAGTATTTAGTACTACCGTCTATGAATCACGGATATGGGATACGGGTACGATACGATACGGATACAATGATACGATAAAATCTAAAAAAGTAGGATTCAGGTACGGTCAAGATACGTTTATAATAAAATATTTTTATTATTTTCAACAAGTATAATACTTATATATTTTAGTAGTTTTTTAACACAATAAGAAAAATTAGTAATTTTTTTAGTTTCTAGAAAATATATATTGTATCACTATGATATATTCACAAAGTGAAATGACTAATTAAAAGAATCAAAACTAATATTTTCCGAGTCGGTTTATTTAGAAATAATTTTAGATAATACTTAAAAAATACTCATGTGCCTTTGAAGTAGTATGAATTTTTATAAATGTATTGTATGGTATGTGAATTTGACAAGAAATGTTAAAAATTCAACTAAAAAATTATATATATTGCTAGAACACAAAAGTATCCGTGAAGTATTCTAATATTTAATTATTATCGAATATATTTGAGGTGTATCCGATACGTATTCTCTCGTATCCGATACAGTATTGAATACGGGTATGCCAACCTCAATAAAGTATCTGTGCTTTGTAGACTACCTTTAGTGGGAAACCCACTCTCATTTTTTTGGGATCCAATGGTAGAAAAAGTTGGTAAAATATTANGTATGCTCTCGTATCCGATACAGTATTGAATACGGGTACGCCAACCTCAATAAAGTATCTGTGCTTTGTAGACTACCTTTAGTAGGAAACCCACTATCATTTTTTTGGGATCCAATGGTAGAAAAAGTTGGTAAAATATTAGATGGGCGGAAGAAAGCTTATATATCCCAGGGGAGAGGCTAACTTTTGCGCAGTTAGTTTTATCTAGTATTCTCACACTTGTTATCTCTTTTCAAGTTACCAGTAAGAGTAAATGTGATACTTAAAAAAATGATGAGAGACTTTCTATGGAAAAATAGTGGTGAAGGTAGAAAGGATCATTTGATTAGTTGGCGTGTTGTGTCTAGTTCTAAGGATAAATGAGGTCTCTCAATTGGTAATTTGAAGACAAGAAATATTATTTTTGTAGGAAAGTGGTTTTGGAGGTTTCTCTTGGAAACAAATTCTTTGTGGTATTTAGTTATTGGGAACAAATATAAATTGCATGCTAACAGATGGGACACTAATAGGGTTGAAAGAGTTGGTTTTTGATACCTTTGAAAATTCATTTATTAGGTTTGACGAGGTTTTTTCAAGAATTTAGGTTAGTGATGAGTAATAGAGAGAGAATTCATTTTTGGGAGGATGATTGAGCAGGTGAAAATTGTCTGTCATATTTGTCTCATCTCTATCGTTTATCTCAATTTTGTAATTCATTCATTGTGTCTATGATTCGTTGATATAGTTCTCCATATTTTTGAGATTTTGGTTTTCGTAGGAATTTCGATGATAGAGACACCGTTGAATTGATGTCATTTCTGGATATTCTTAACAACATTGTTTTGAATATTGACTCTAGTGATAAAAAAGAGTGGATGTTGGAATCATTAAGAGTCTTTTCATGTAAATCTTTCTTTGATTCTTTGGTGGGGGAAAATTCTTATTCTTCCTTTGAAATTGCTTTGATGATATGGAAATCTAAAGTACCTTTGAAGGTGCAAGTTTTGCATAGGCAGTTGCACTTGATAAGATTAATATTAATGACATGTTGCAGAAAAGTAGACCTTACACTTGTATTTCCCGTATGTGCTATGTNGGAAATCTAAAGTACCTTTGAAGGTGCAAGTTTTGCATAGGCAGTTGCACTTGATAAGATTAATACTAATGACATGTTGCAGAAAAGTAGACCTTACACTTGTATTTCCCGTATGTGCTATGTGATGTGTAAAGGTGATGGTGAGAGTGTTGATTATTTATTTTTACACTGCTCTATTTTGCTTTGAATTTGTGATATCGGTTGTATTGAGAGGTGGGCTTGAGTTGATTGATTCTCGCAATATCCATTTCCTTGTTTAATGAAGATGTTTAAGGATTTGGGAGACTTGTGTTCGCGCAGCCCCTGTATAAAAAAAAAAAAAGGNAGTATTGAATACGGGTATGCCAACCTCAATAAAGTATCTGTGCTTTGTAGACTACCTTTAGTGGGAAACCCACTCTCATTTTTTTGGGATCCAATGGTAGAAAAAGTTGGTAAAATATTAGATGGGCGGAAGAAAGCTTATANTTGGGAGACTTAATAAAGGGGTTACTCTTTGGAATTGTGCTCACATTCTTTTTTTGGCATCGTTTTGGGCTTCGGTTACAAAGGCTTTTAAAGGAGTTCTGCTTTTTGCTATACTAGTGGGATGGAGAGCTTCATGTCATTTATGGGCTTCTTCTATCTTTTTGCTTTGAATTTTTACTGTAAATACCCTTGATACAAGAGTTTCTATTTTATCACTTTCTATTTTAATTCAAGAGTTTCTATTTTGTATCAAAAAAAATAATCACTCCAAAGATGTCTTAGAATGGCAGCCTTATTCCATGGTTCAATAGCTTTGATTCCAAGTCCCCCTTGATCCTTAGGCAGGCAGACAGAGGACCATGCAACCCTTGCCCCACTAGCTCCCAGGTCTGTACCTGTCCATAGGAATCTTCTCAAGATTTGCTCCACATGACACAGTATTGATAACTTTCTTTGGGAGAATAAACATGAAGACCAATAAACCTGGATAGAGAATGGCATAGAATTTATCAACTGAATTCTACCTGCATACGAGAGGACCTTGTTGCTCCAAGAATTAACCCAATATGAACTTTTTTATCTTAGATTAACTATGATTTTGATTAGTTCTCCTATGATTATTGTTCAGATTTCCTACTTAAAGATGCGTATGACTATTTGAGAATGAGAAGAAGGATAGTATATAGTATTTCAAGTTGTGTAGTTATGCTGGTTGGTCAAGCTATCATTTGATTGTTTGCTGAGATTCCTTCTAAACTTCTACTGATTTTTGAATCTTTCTTAGAGGTAGCACAAAATATTTTGATTATGCAACTACGTGCTGGAGTCATGGTATTGAACCAATATGACACGTGACATGGAAGAGAACTTGCTTCTGCATTATTAAATGATTGTGTCAGGCTTAGAAATCATTCGTATACCTAGAGAATTTTGGTACTGTTTAAGTGATGAAAACTTGGGCTTTATGTTTGATGCCAATACTATTTAGGCTTGAAAATATATTGGATATAGGTAGTTCTATGGTTCAACTTTGAAAGCCATTATCATGTCGTCTAATGGTTGTCCTATGAATGGATAAAAAATTCTCTGCCAGCAGTGACTGATTGGACGGCTGAAGCTTCGTTCACATTCACATTCTGGTCTGGTGCCCAGTAGGGTAATTGTGCATTTAATGAACAGGGTGAGGACTTGGGAATTGGGACTTTTTCAATTCTCTTTATTCGTTTGTTTCCTCTGATTCTGTCTTAGGGAATTCCTGATTGTTCCGCCGATCTTTTTACTTCATCATCACACTCCTCCTTACTTCACCACTTCAACTCAAGATATGTTTGTTTATTATCTTCTGACGAAAGCTGCTTCTGACCAGATTCTTGGGACAAGCCCTCCATCAGAAGATGTTCCACTTCCTTCGAACTTGTATATGGGGGACAACAGCAGCTATGCTGAGGAATCAACNGGAAAGCTGCTTCTGACCAGATTCTTGGGACAAGCCCTCCATCAGAAGATGCTCCACTTCCTTCGAACTTGTATATGGGGGACAACAGCAGCTATGCTGAGGAATCAACGGACTTTGTTGATAATGCTCAAAGGTTCTTGGTGGGTGTGGGTCAAAACCATTGCAGTTCAGAACAGCCTGATGACCAGAAGTTATTTGATTTGCCAGTGCAATATGATGTCGATTCAAAACCCGTCAAACATGAATACATTGGTGAATCAAGCAAGACCGTGAATCCCGTGGATGAAGATTACTTACTTGACGAACCATTCTTGAATGCTAGTAATGTCCCTCAATTTGATGATGGAGCATATCTGGAAGCTAATGACCTCTCTAACCCCATTGAGGCAGATGCCTATCCTTATGACATGTTTGAAGAGTACCTTAACTATTTTGATGCAGTTGGTGACAACATGCAGTGCATGGGTTTTAACTCTTCAAATATGATGGAAAGTGATCTTATTTCTGGCCAAGCATCACTTACCCAGGAGGTAATACAATTTTTGGAACTTGACCAACCTGTTAAATTTGATGTTAAATATTGCAACTTATAACTTGATACTCTGTCAGGATGGAGGAGTCCAGCAAGTGGCTATGTCAAGCCAAGAGCTCTTGGAAGGGCATAGTAATGACATTGCATCCTCTCCAAACCAGGTCACAAAATTTGGATCAGGTATACTAACTTCACCTCAGCAGCACTGCTGGCTTCACTACAAATCTGCTCCGTATATTTGTTTCGGACTGCGATATTAAACCGTTCATTATGTGAACAATTTTAATATGCCATTTATACTCACTTGTTTGTCATTTTTGTGTTCCTTCAGATGGGACAGATGTTCAGCACCCATTTGTCAAGCAGGCCAATCGCATGCTGGGCAGCATCCCTGCTCCACCTGCATTTGCTTCGGAGTTCCCCACAAAAGCTGCTGCTCTTTGTCTGAACTCTGCGTCCCAGTCTTCCAGTTCAGTCCATGTTACTGCTGGTATGATCCAGATAAGATATATGAATTTGAGTGGCAGTGGGGCAGACTGGTCGCTTGGTAAGCATAGCCTCAACATAGTGATCTCTTTTGACATGTCACATGCTGATGGTAATTCTGCCATTCTGGGGCCAATGGTTAGCATGCTCTATGGAAAGGCTGGTTCGGCAATATCCCGGGCTTGGTTTTGCTTTATGTTCATTGGGGTCCTGATGGTTTCTATGGCCTTCAAGATTTGGACCTGTATTTGTGTCAGGTAAGGCTCACCAGTAGGACTGGTAACCATACTATACCCAAAACAGTGTAATTGGCTGAAATTCCTGGAACACTTGGCAGATATCGACTCCATTTACTCTGACAGAACTCTCTCTTGCAAATTTTTTTTTTTTTTTTGTTATTTCATTTAAAATGTTAAATTTTGAATATGTTGCTATATAAGCTTGATGTCCCGACTTTTGGAAGGGTTTGCCAGCTGCATTAATTTCTTAAAGGGAATGTATTTGTCAGAATTCTTGTTAGGTTTGATGTATGAAATATGAAGGTAAGCTTCTAGGGAAGAAGACACTCAACCGAACCGTCACACAAGTAAACTAGTTGCTGGGAATGAACAAGATATCGAGGGATTCTCCACTTGAAGGTTTCTTTCAATGCAAAGATGAAACTACCTGTATGCTAACTGAAAGGACGTGAATACATAATGCAAGGCAATGGAAGTTTAGTGTATGCAATGGAAGTTCAGCCATCCAGCAGTTGGATTTATGAGCCTAGTATCATCCAGTAATGGCTGGAACACAGGAAAGCAGCTGCTCTCACATTTATAACTTTCAAGTGGTGCAAAGTTGAGTATTTTTTTTTAATTAATAATCCAAATTAGCATTCTTTTAATACCTGATTTCGATTTTATAGTGATTTCTACCGTATTTTTTAAATTACAGCTGTTTTCATATAAGAGTGTGGTTTGCAAAATACGTTTCTAAAGTTTTTTTATTGAAGGAAAAATTATCAGTAAGTCTTACTTTTTCCTTAAAATAATTATAAAGTCTTATCATTTTTATCTTAGAACAATTAAGTCGTACTTTTAATAATTTCTTCCCAAGAACTCCTAAGCTCCATTAATGGTTTGTTTTTGTTTATAATTTTATATTTAATTTTATTTATTACTATATGATTTTTGTATCTTAAATTAAAATCCAAGTAAGTTATACATCCATCCTATTGATAGGTAAGAGTTCAAANGTTTCAATTTTATCCTCTATGAACTCATGAATTATATTTTTGTTTATAATTTTATATTTAATTTTATTTATTACTATATGATTTTTGTATCTTNGTTCTTTCAATGCAAAGATGAAACTACCTCTATGCTAACTGAAAGGACGTGAATACATCATGCAAGGCAATGGAAGTTTAGTGTATGCAATGGAAGTTCAGCCATCCAGCAGTTGGATTTATGAGCCTAGTATCATCCAGTAATGGCTGGAACACAGGAAAGCAGCTGCTCTCACATTTATAACTTTCAAGTGGTGCAAAGTTGAGTATTTTTTTTTAATTAATAATCCAAATTAGCATTCTTTTAATACCTGATTTCGATTTTATAGTGATTTCTACCGTATTTTTTAAATTACAGCTGTTTTCATATAAGAGTGTGGTTTGCAAAATACGTTTCTAAAGTTTTTTTATTGAAGGAAAAATTATCAGTAAGTCTTACTTTTTCCTTAAAATAATTATAAAGTCTTATCATTTTTATCTTAGAACAATTAAGTCGTACTTTTAATAATTTCTTCCCAAGAACTCCTAAGCTCCATTAATGGTTTGTTTTTGTTTATAATTTTATATTTAATTTTATTTATTACTATATGATTTTTGTATCTTAAATTAAAATCCAAGTAAGTTATACATCCATCCTATTGATAGGTAAGAGTTCAAATACGAGTGAATCTTACGTAGCATAAAAATAATAATATACATCAATTTTTTTTATTTGATCTCTTAAATATAATATTGTAACTTCGAATGTTTGAATTTTTTTTTATCCTTAAAATAATGATGCTTTCTAATTAATTTAAATTGCTGAAGGAGAAAGAAAAAAAATGTAATTAGATGAACTTTTCTCAATGATTGTATTTATAGATTAGATTTTTACATTCTTGATTTATCTAATTATATCTTTATAGTTGATATTCAATAGTTAAGTGAGTCAAAATTTATATACTTAAAAAAAAGTTAAATATATGAAAAGATAGGGTTGATGATCTATCATTTTTATAAGTTTTTATTGTTAATTACGTATTTCGGGTGTTATGCACTAATTAGAAAAATAATTAATTTGCCTTTGGGACACTAATAACAACTATTATTGATAAAAAAATGTAATTGTTGTGTTGATGAGAAGGATAAAATTGGAACAAAATATACTATTGATAGAGTTTAGAATTTCTTGGGAATAAATTATCAAAAATAGGACTTAATTATCCTAAAATAAATATGATAGGAGTTAATAATTTTTTGTAGAAAAAGTAGGACTTATTTGTGATTTTTCTTTTATTGGAAGCTTATTTTCTAAATTCTTTTACATCAATTTTATAGAAACATCTGAGAAATAAGTGAAAAGCTAAATAATCATTTCTATGAGAAAAAAAGGTACTTAGCAGAAGGTCTAGTTCCTTGGGCATTGATTGACCAGGAGATGTGTGCAAGTTTGGGAGATGCCATGCGAAGTGTAAGAACTAGAGATCATACAGGACAGGTTGTTGCTGTAGCGTCGGGGAAGATGTGTGTTGCCTCTCCGTTGGCATCCGAAGCTTGAGCAATAAGGAAGGCGTGTATTTTGGCAATGACTGAAAGCTGGAGATTTGTTATTTTCGAATGTGACTCAAACACTCTCATTGATTCATTGGTGATGGGGCCTACTAAGTCATTAAGGGATGTTGAACCAATTCAGAGAGATGTGTCCTCGCAACACATTTCCGTTAAATTTCTTTTTGTCAGGAGATCAGCTAATCATTTACCTCATTTGGTTTGCTCATCTAACCAATTGTGGGAGTCTTCCTGGTGATTGGTTTTTGAATCCTCCACTTCAAGTACTGCAACTGATCTAGAAAGAAGTTCGCGAGGGCATAGGATAGTACAAAATGCTTCTGTTTTTGTTACAAGTATATTCTTTTGTAAGTATGTTTTATGAATGACCAAAAAAAAATCTATCACGCAAAGTATAGGAACTAAAATTCTTCCTCGGGTTAGTCAATACTTAAAAATTTGTATTTCTAGGTAAGTGTATATAATACTATAGCCCGTTCATTAAGGGCTGCCCAAGTGTTTGGGATGGCTTTAAGCTTCTTTTGCCTTACTTTCTATTATATTAGTCAACTAGCGATACATCATGATTAAAGTCATTATACACTGAGCTAAAATATTGTGCGTGTATTAGAGTGTGTGTATATATGAGTGTGTGTGTGTGTGTGTATTGAAGTGTGTGCAGTTGTGTGTTGTGGAGTGTGTTGAATTTGTAAAATTTAGGGGGAAAAATGTGTGTTTGGTGTGTGAAATTTGGGGAGAGGAGAAAATAAACTCCCATATGTTTAAAANGTGGAGTGTGTGCGTTGAATTTGTAAAATTTAGGGGGAAAAATGTGTGTTTGGTGTGTGAAATTTGGGGAGAGGAGAAAATAAACTCCCATATGTTTAAAAACCTAATTATCTAATTCGATAGATTGCAAATGAAGGGTGTACACAATAATTTTCTCTTTTTCCTAATTTGAGAGAGAATAAGAAAAGTCTTCCCTTAAATTCGAAAATATGACACAACTAATGACTCTTCATAGACAAAGGCAAAATTGTGTATAGGTAAGGGTGTTTATGGACCGGGTTATCCACGGATCCTGTTACCTGATTCAAAACCCAATATACCTGATAGTTAGCCCGCCCGTGCCCGAACCCGAGCCCAAACCCAATACCCTTAAAAAAAAAAAAAGAGCTTATGTTTGCGCCCAAACCCTATGTATAGGCTTAGGGGGATGCCCCCTCACATTCTGAAAAATCCCTATAGTCCCATTAAGTTTTAGAAAGTTCTATTACTTCCTCCTAGGTTTTCAAATGTCTAGAGTATATTATTTCACTTAATGTGTTCAAAAGATTGAAAACTTGATATTTATTGACAAAAATCGTAATGTAATCACATAGATTATTGTTGCTCTTTCTAGAGAAGCCACTTGTTTAAATAATTTTGATAACCAAAGGGAAAAAAAAAAGAAAATTTTTATAAAATCAGGTTACAAATGTAATTTATATCAAAAGTACGATAGTAACTCATAATTCATTTTTATTGTAGTAATTGTCACAAACTAATTGTATAAACCAAATTTTGAATTTTATGATCCAAAATAATTTCAATGATGGTATTGCATAAAAATAAATTTTGTGTAACTAGAAATTCATGATTACTAAAATAGTTTATTGAAAAACCATGTTAAACAAAATCATTGTCTATTTTATTGTTTNTGTTTTTGAATCCTCCACTTCAACTACTGCAACTGATCTAGAAAGAAGTTCGCGAGGGCATAGGATAGTACAAAATGCTTCTGTTTTTGTTGCAAGTATATTCTTTTGTAAGTATGTTTTATGAATGACCAAAAAAAAATCTATCACGCAAAGTATAGGAACTAAAATTCTTCCTCGGGTTAGTCAATACTTAAAAATTTGTATTTATAGGTAAGTGTATATAATACTATAGCCCGTTCATTAAGGGCTGCCCAAGTGTTTGGGATGGCTTTAAGCTTCTTTTGTCTTACTTTCTATTATATTAGTCAACTAGCGATACCTCATGATTAAAGTCATTATACACTGAGCTAAAATATTGTGCGTGTATTAGAGTGTGTGTATATATGAGTGTGTGTGTGTGTGTGTATTGAAGTGTGTGCAGTTGTGTGTTGTGGAGTGTGTGCGTTGAATTTGTAAAATTTAGGGGGAAAAATGTGTGTTTGGTGTGTGAAATTTGGGGAGAGGAGAAAATAAACTCCCNATGGAGTGTGTTGAATTTGTAAAATTTAGGGGGAAAAATGTGTGTTTGGTGTGTGAAATTTGGGGAGAGGAGAAAATATACTCCCATATGTTTAAAAACCTAACTATCTAATTCGATAGATTGCAAATGAAGGGTGTACACAATAATTTTCTCTTTTTCCTAATTTGAGAAAGAATAAGAAAAGTCTTCCCTTAAATTCGAAAATATGACACAACTAATGACTCTTCATAGACAGGCAAAATTGTGTATAGATTAACAAAAATCGTAATGTAATCACATAGATTATTGTTGCTCTTTCTAGAGAAGCCACTTGTTTAAATAATTTTGATAACCAAAGGGCAAAAAAAAGTAAATTTTTATAAAATCAGGTTACAAATGTAATTTATATCAAAAGTACGATAGTAACTCATAATTCATTTTTATTGTAGTAATTGTCACAAACTAATTGTATAAACCAAATTTTGAATTTTATGATCCAAAATAATTTCAATGATGGTATTGCATAAAAATAAATTTTGTGTAACTAGAAATTCATGATTACTAAAATAGTTTATTGAAAAACCATGTTAAACAAAATCATTGTCTATTTTATTGTTTGGCCATCTCATGCTAAAATTCTGAATCCGTCCCTGTTCACATGAATGTCCACATGTTTCCGTGGAAAGTAAACTGAAACTTTGTCCCTCGCGGTAATTTAGAAATTGTTCGTGCTAAGTTGTCACCATAGTCACGACATGTGCAAACAGGGAATTCTAATCCCCATTTTCATGTCCTTTGCTGCTGCTGTCCAAAGAAATGAAAGGAACCAATCA